ATATATATATATATATATATATATATATATATATATATTGTGTCTTCATATTTAATTTAAAAAATCAGATATAATTGATATTTATACCTAATCAAGAAATTTTTTTGGTTTATGAGTTAAGACAATATTCGCCAAAATAATTTTGTTTACCATAAGAAAAAAAAACAAAGAAATTACTCTTTTTCCTTCCATGGTTTCTTAAAATTACAATATACAAAATAAAAATAAAAATGTGCGACTCAATGGTTACTATCACTAATTATTTTGTGACCAATCCGAAATTTAAATTGATTTATGATTTTATCTTTGGAAAATGTTTAAAAACATTGAAAAATGAAAATTACTAAAATTGCTTTTTGCTTCAAATTGTAAGTGTTATGAGAATATTAGGTACAACAGAATAATTTTTTATTTCAATTTATTTTATATTTTCAAGATTTATAGATGGATGAAGAAACTAAATAAAGGTGCTTTTTTTTAATTCTTGCTTAAATATATGGAATTATAAAGTAAATTTAAAAGAAGATGGTTATTTTGTATTTTAGAGTAAAAATAGGAAATAACCACATAGCACACCTTAAATTTCTTGAAGGGTTGCAAATTTAACAGTTTATAAATATTTTTTTTTCCATGATTTAGTCGATAACACATTCCAACATATTTAGCCATTCATTACCAAAATTAATTTTAGAACAAATTCAGCATTGTAGGAAAAAAAATTATTATTTTTTATTTATAGATTAGAGAATAAATTTGTTTATGATCTGTGAATGTCACGAACATTCTTTTTAGTATTTTTGTAGTAGTCTCAATCATATTTCATAAACCCTTTCATCTGATCCAAAACCCTAAGCTTGTGCTTGTGCTTGTGCTTTTCACTTCGTGCTGTTCATCTTCAATGGCACGCTTACTTCGTTCCCTCAGAAAACCCCTAACCCTAACCCTAACACACCAATTTCACCATCAACAGCAGCAATTATGCATTTCTCGGCACCTATTCCGAAGAAGTTACATATCAGAAATGCGCAAAGAAGCTTTCGAGGGTAACATTTTGAGACTCCTCCGCAACGAGATTCAGTACGAGCTCCAATCCTCTCCTCCTCCCGACAAGGTGCGTTTTCTTTTCTCCTTTCCCTCTAACTTCTACTTACTGATAAGGTTTCAGAGCTTCAACAATTTTCTAATCGTACTATCGGATAAAGTTTACTTAAAACCACGAAATTACCATCGTTTGGCTTATAACATTCTGTGATTTACCCCCCAATAAGATTCAGTTTGTAATGTCGTGTGTTCAATACAGTGCATTAAAGAGTGATTTAGCGTTTTTCTTTGTATCAATTGAACTGCTATGTATTCGTGTTCAGAGCATGACTTCTTATGATGGCCGCTCTTGTTTTACAGCCTTTTACGAAGTTTGGTTCCTTTACTGTGGATGGCCGAGCTGGGGAGCGGTGGATTACATTGGAAAAACGACATGCTGATGAAAACATTAAACTTGAAGTCACCATGTTTGATGGAGCTGTTCCTGCTCCAACTCCAACAAAAGGCGGTGATGGTGTAATTAATTCTGATGAAATGCAGATGCATATTACTGTAATTGTCACTATCTCCAAGGGAGAAGGTGATGGTGTGTTGCAAATTACGTGTTCAGCTTGGCCTGACTATGTAGAGATAAAAAAGTTGCTCATACGTGCAAATGAGAATATAATAACTGAGCCCTATGCTGGTCCGGAATTCACGTAGGTTTACTCACTCATTTCCAGTCCTGGTTGTTTGCTTAGATTTGGAATTGTGTTAATGACACCTTTTTCTGTTGGTTCTTGACAGGGAATTGGACGATGCGTTGCAAGACAGCCTTTATGATTTTTTGGAAGTAAGGGGCATAAATGATGAACTTGCTGTTTTCTTGCATCAGTACATGAAACAAAAGGATAAAACGGAGTATGTAAGATGGATGCAAATGGTCAAGTCTTTTATTGAAAGGAAATAAGGACATTGAAATTTCAATAAAATCTCCTGTAATTTTTGGTCACTGAAGTGTGAATCTAGGCAGTTACACATCATTGTTTTTTGTTGACTTCTGCTTTAGATTTTTAGTTAGTGTTGGAAGAAATTGTACTGGAGATTGGAAATGGCTGTATTATTTTTGTGGTTTTTGAACAAAAATGATAGCACACATAAGATAGAATTACGGCATTGCTAATGGAAGATTTTTCTCCATTCTATAGATTCTGCATTCTTATCCCCTTTTATGATTTTGATTTCGGTTTTGCAATCTATAAACAGTGATTTAAATATTTGATTACTAGTAGTAGCGAGCAGCTGAATAATGGATGCAATTATTTTGATCTTGTTACAAAACAGTGGCTTAGAAGATATACTTTGGGGAGCTTTTTCCATACAATTTTTACATTTTCATTTTCTCTCACGTGCTGCCCAAAATAATCTTATCTAAACATGATTATTAGTATAGAACTACGTATGTCTCCTGCAATAAAATATCATACACAAGAATTTGTTGTGGATGGTTTGGATATAGAGATACCTAAGCTTCTATTGAATACCTATTAGAATGAGTGTTTAGAGCTTGAAGGAAAATATTGGATGTGTGTGTATGATGTTGATATTTGCCGTGTTGATCGGCTGGCAAGTTTACCAATAAAAAAGTAGGTGTATGAGTAGAGTACCATTGCAGAGCCTATGTTTCAATTTGTCAACCCCTTAGATTAGATTGGTTAGATGGTTGGATTGGTACCAATAAAAAAGTAAGTGTATGATGTTGATATTTGCCCAAAATTTCCATTGCAGTCTTTTCGTACTCACTTCTGTTATAAAAGTATATAATACTCTCTGCTTGTGATACCAGTTACGAACATCAGCATTCATACCAATGCCTGGGAATATCCAAACATGATTACAACCGAAATGCAATCATTGGGATTACAAGGATTTGTATATTGTAGATTGTTCATTTGGTTCTTAAAGTTACTGAATGTAGAAACTTGGTATCATGTGCTTGAGAAATGAGTTCTAGAAAGGAAAGGCAGAAATTTATTTCCAATTTATTTCCTAATTTGATTGCTTTATTAAATAAAATATAAAGTAATAATTTTACATAAATTTAAAGTTTTATTCTTGTTGTGCTCTTTTATGAACGTTGCATAAGTCTCCATTCTTTTTCTGTTCTGTTTTACAAGTTACAGTGATGTATAAACGCACTGTAGTGAAATGATTTTTTAGTCATTTTAATGAAATAATTGACGCTTTTCATTTCTTAAAAATGAAACCATTTAAAGTTGTAGTTAACAGAACCTAACTAAGCTAGACTCAATGGTAAGAAAACTTGAATCTTGTAGCTTTTTGATCCATTCAAGAAATGTTTAATTAATATATATATACTGGAATATCGGTCTTGTCTATTAATAAAGGTTCACTGAACGAATAATTGGAATTTAATTGAAAAAAATTGAGAATTTGAATTCAATTATGTATGTAATTAAAAATTAAAAAAATAAATCATATGCATTTAATTCATATAAAATGAACTTTGTAAGCATCCAGACAGAATTTTGAATGCCTCACCTGCTGCTGATACATACACTATTGGATATCATAATCACTTAACCTCCGGTTGAAGGTACATAAATTTGGTAAAAGTACATATGTTGTTAACCAGTAATACTTGACAATAGAAGTTTAAAGAAACAATGATTTTATATTTGTTGAAATGAAAATCAAAACTATTATTTGGTATGCTCCTATTTGATAAAGAGCATAGATACAAACAGTGATACCAAACCAAAGTGAAAGCAGAATAATAAGAATAGAAAGAAGAAACAAGTTTGAGTAGCCTAGTTTAGATGTTGACGCTGATACAACTTTCATTTCCTATCTTCTATTGAAGGTGAGGACAGACAATCTCATATTTAATAATCAAATAAGATCTTAAAGAAGAAGAAAAAGCAAGTTTAGATTCAGAATTTCATGTCCACGTTTTGCGTTGGATTTGTTCATTTGTGTTTCTTTCTTGGTAGGGTGGCAAAACTAAAGGTTCTTAATATTTTATTGGATGAATGGTGAAGAGTGAGGTATGGTAGCACAGGTGAAATAGACAGCTCAACCGAAGTGCTAGACATAGGAAGATGAAATAGGCCATATTCTCTGTTAGTTTTCTTTTTTTGTCGTTCTGCTGAGCATTAAAAATATATTCTGACGTTAGTATATTAAAATCATTTTAACATATTTTAAAACATTAAAATCAGTGTTCATCAGTATATAAAAATTCAGCAGAGAATGCAAATTCAAGAGGAAAACTCAGACTCAAAATCCACCTTTGGAAACATCTCAGATCATGCAGACCACAGACTATAGTACATAATATATCCTTTGTTAGCGTGAGATTACTGTGATCATTAACTGTCATAATGACTAGACTTTCAGTTGCTTTTGCTCCTTGATTTCATCATAGTACTTATGTTTCATGATTAAAACGAGATTAGTGTAAACATCATGCGGATATGGACCTACAAATTTGTTTGTCCCTTGAGATATCTTTAGGTGAGAAATCAGGACCATCAAGATTCAAGATTTTAATCTGTAACATTTCCTTTTAAAATGATGTGATTGCAGAGCTGAGTGTCATTTTGGCTTACTTTCACATGGCTTGCCTCACCTACTTCTCTGATCCCAATAGAGATGGTCGATTTCTCCAACTACAGGTGGGTCAAAGTAGGAGTCAGTGAGACAATCACAGCCTTTGAAACTGTGCATTTTGGTGGACCAATCTTCCATAGGAATTTGAAAAAACGACACTCACAACCATCCAAATTTCTACATAGTGTGGACCTTTGTCACCCAAAATGTCAGACATATATGCCCTGATCCAAACAGTCCCAGGTTGACATTTACTGCATTGTCAAATAATAAGGGAACTCCAATAACTACATGGTACTAGAGTTCTTCAATTCATAGAGTAGAAGATGCAAAGTATCTAGTAGTGGGATGGGAAGTTGATAATAAGTAGAAGCTTGACCAAAACATAGTTAAAATATCAGTAGTCTGGTGAAATAAACTTTAGTAGCTGCTTTTTATGAATCAAACACATGCAGATCCATCAACTTCTTTAACTTTGAAACGAATCAATTTCATGTCAGATTTATTGAATAACTCAAAGCTGTGAGGACCTAACTTATCTACCTCTTTAAGAATTGGCGAAGAAAAGAGAGTTTGATGTACTCATGATGCTGTTATAAAGCAATTTAAAGCTTGATGGGAGTTTCAACTTGAAAAGAAGCCATTATTCATGACTGAGAAAATAAAGCAAACAACATTAAAAGCAAAACACAAGCTCTCTGGTAAGTAGCCAAAATGCATTTAGACTTGGTGGAGCAAGAGATACATGAGGACAAAAGAAGTGAAAAAGGAAAGAGCTGTGAAGGTGTTGGACAATGAGAAAAGACACAAATCAACTGGGGTATGGCATGTTGAATGGTAACTACTTAGAGCTTAAGGGACAAGTCAAGCTTCTGCAACTTCTCTTGTTTAGACTTCAAATGAGAAAAGCTACCAAAACAGTGTCCTCCAAATCCCTCTGTCACTACCCTTGTGGAAAACTTGCCTACTTTTGGAACACTATCAGCCAAGGATGACTCAGATTCTGCCCCCACACGAAAATTTCCAATTGCTGGTTGAGAATCCAAAGGCTGCCTCTGCCACCCATTGGAACGGCACAACCCAAAAATGGGTGCTTGATGAGAAGGTTTGTTAATCATGGCATGAACCTGAATTCCAAGTGATTTGTTGTATAAGCCGTGAGAAGGAAGAAAAGGCACGGTGGAATACGTGTGTCCAAAATCTGCTGCACCTGCTTTGTATCCTCTTCTTGCTAAAGTTCTTTCACGTTTGTGTGCATTCTGGTGTCCCCCCAGTGCCTGAGAACTATAAAACTTTCTTTGGCAGTAGTTGCATGAGAAAACCCGGGGATCCAGTTCATTTCCCTGACTAGATTCTGATGAATTTTCAGAGAAATTCGTATGGAAACAATTGAGGAGGTTGAGTTCTGGCTTTGACTCATCATCATCACCTGAATCCTTGTTGGAGAGACTTAGATCTAGTAAGACACGAGGATTTGAGTCATTTGGGTGCTTTTGATCATCACTTTCTGTGTGATTCCTCTTTCTTTGAGTGTCTATGGAAGATCTTTGGCATGGCATAGTATCTGAAAATGTAATCATGTTCAAGCTCTCAAAAGGGCATGGCTCTTGCCTTTGAAGATCCATGTGGCAAGAAATTTGCAATAATTGCCTCAGTGGTGGTGTTGGTTATGGAAGTTTGGTTTAACAGGAAGAACAAGAACAAGAACAAGAAAGATGGAGTTTGTGAGTGATGTAACAACAATAAATGGTGTGTGCTATGTATAGAAGTAGATAGCACTATTTTACAGTTACAAGGTCTTAATATAGCAAGACCTAAAAATTAAGACATGCCTTTGTCTGTGTGTGCTTGATTGGAACATATGTAGAACACCCACGTACAGCTTGCTAGTGCATACCTCATTCAAAGTTTCTTTTTTTTTTTCTTTTTTTTTTGGTAATTTTTATTTGTCTTCTCACTTGTCACTTTACATTTCTGGTCTCTGTATCTGCCTTTTATCGGTATATTCATGTCTATAGGTTATGAGGGGCTAAAAATCCAAGATAAGATCAATACCCCACTTTTGAAATTCAGAATAATGTGGTATTGTAGAATGGACTTGTCTTATAAAAGGTGTGGTATACTGAATTTCTTAATCCTGTTGGTGGATTTGCAGTATCTTCTCTGAAACTCTTCTGTCCTTGTCCTGCATTTTGCTTTCTTTATCTCCTCCTAGGATATAGACTTGTCCACACTTTCAATTTCTTTACTTTTCAGGTGTAAAAAACTTATATCACTTTAATCCTTCCAGAGTAGCTTATTCCATTCTAGAACACCAACTAAATATACAAAATCCAGTGTAGCAAATAATATAAAAGTAACACATAATCATTATTGTTGGAAGTCCCACACCAGAGATAAGACCAATTTATAACATATAAGTGGGTGCAAACATCGTCTTATAAGCTGGTTTTGTGAGATTGAGTTAGGCTTAAAGTCCATCTCTCTGTCCTAGTTAACTATTTGGTTGAGTTTATGTCTTCTATGTGATGTTCATCGTCATGAATCAATTATTCCAAAATTCCAAGTTGTTCCACGGATTAAAGTCTTAGCTTAACCACTAAATTGTGAATGCTCCATAAATTAATCATTCCAAAAACTCAGATGAAAAGTAGAATCTTTCTGATAAATCAATGCCAGCAGAGACATTAACTCAATGTATTAGTTTTCAAATTAAGATGCATGAATTATTATTACTTAAGAATATCTTGAATGAATGAGCTGTCTGATTTTTGTAAACAGTAAAGTGGCTTTTTTCATGGAGGCTCTTGTGGCTAATTTCAAGATGTAATCATTGGAGGCCTTCTGTTTCTGTGTTTGTTCACCATTCTTTAGACGAAGCTTCTAATCACACAAGCAAGCAACAACCATAGATTTGAAGTGCCTTAAAGCCATGCAAGAGGAATATGCTGCTCTCATTGCCAATTACACCTGGACATTGGTGTCACCACTTCCCAATGTCGATGTAGTAGGTAGGCCCTACGTAACTAAGGATGTGAAATGGTGTGCACTTTATGTTTCACACCCATTTACTCCATTGCAATTTAAGAAAAGAAAAAGTCCATACCAGAAAAAATTCTCAAGAGTCAGAATGTGATGATGTACTTTCAAATAATTGCAGAGGGTTCCATACTTGGAACAATGCTTTTAAATTGTAGTATCTTGCAATTTTACAAGTATCTACTCATATTTTTAAATTGTATTATTGAGTTTGTAAATTGTATTATTGATTGTATAAATGAAATAACAACATGGTGAATCGAGTTTTTTGACAAGAGGTTTGTAGTGTACATTTTCTTTAACTTCAACAATTGTAAACTACTTCTTCAGCAACTTATATTTAAACCATTCTTTGAATCAATCATAAACCAGAAGCTAGTTTGGTTGCAAAGGGAATTTTTTACTAAAATTTGGGATTTATTTTAAACCAAACTTTCTAACCTGTAGTTCAACCAACCACTATTCAAATTGTGGTCATACCCTTTTCAGCAACTTATAGCTATTTGCTAAGAATTGACAAATGAGACAACTAAATTTCACCAGGTAGTTTTTCTATTCTTGGGTTCCTTCAAAAGATTGTCACAATGCAACAGCCAGAGATTCATACATCATAAGGGTAACTTAGCAATAATGGCAGCTACACTCTTGATCCCTTAAACTTAACAAATCACTATTGTTTAAGTAATATTCACCCAGTAGATTATAAACCAGAACAAGAATAAAACACAGTTTTAGCTATTTCCTTTTAGAAAAATTAAATAATTTTATAGTGTTTGTCATGTTGTAGCCAGACAAAAGTCTCTGGTCTAACTTTCTCTTATTATGTTGCTACTGTTGGGTTTATCGAGAAAAAGATTTACTGTGAATATACAAACACTAATGAGATTTGGATCTAACCATATAAGAGAGATTGACATTGACAGTACTCTTTATCCAAAACTTTAAAGTAATGGATTAATAGGTCTTTTATAGTGTTCTACTTTCTCATTTTTATCAAAGGTGAAACTTAGACTCACTCTTACATTTCCAACAACTACTACTTATGTTAATATTTATGTCTCGAAACTTAATCATGATACTTATGTTCCCATTGAAATTTGTATTGAGAAACACTATTTGTATATAAACTTTGTATAAAGGAGGATGGAACAATTACTGTTGCAGAGAGAAAAATTAATGTTGTAAAAAGTAGAAAGTGTTGTGTGAATATATTATATGAAAAACATAACACGATTCCATAGTACTTTTTGAAGTTTGAACATGTACTTTTGAGGTTTCAACTGTCTAATATGACGTAGCTTTTTACTTACAGAAATCTCACGTTGATATATATGTAGGTAGCTTTTACTTACAGAGATGTTACAGTTGATAAGACATCATAAACTATGGTCCCTAGCAGTTTATCTGAAGAAACTGGCTTTTCATAGTTGGGTATGTGTCATTTCTCGTTTGTGTTTTAGTTAATGCTTCGTTTAAGCACTTAATAATTGAAGCCTATTCTGGGAATTTCAGATGGCAGTTTCCTTTCTTCGACTAGTAAAACGTGACACGAAAAATTGCCATATACAAAGCAACCAATCCAACTTTCCCTCCTATTATGTTTTGCCTGCATCTACCATTTATGCTCTTTGTCATATACCATTTTGCTTCTTCTGTCACATAAAACGTGTCACTCTATTTTCCAGACCACACACAGACTCCGTATCTTCTCTCTCTTTCTCTTTTCAAACAACTTTTCAGTGTCTTAAGAGTATATATTATTAAAATCATCACATCTATAGTGTAGTATTATAATGCCCTACTGCCAGAAGTTTACATTTATTTATTCATTTCTCTGTCTATAAATTTAGAATAATGATACTTTGACAACATTTTTTTGACAACATTTTAACACCATCTACGTGTCATTCTGTGAGTGTTCTATATTGGTATTTATGATTATTATTATTGATTGTAGAGTAATTTTGAACCAATCATTGACACATAGATGAGATTAAAATATTATAAAAAAAATGTTATCAAAGTATCATTATTTATAAATTTATCTGATATTAGTTTTTGCTGTGAGTAACATAATGAAAGGTAAATAGACTTTTAGTTCAATGATAAAATACTGAACTTGTATTCCTTAAACCAGGTTTCAGATTTAACTTTATGAATAAAGAAAACAGGTTTTTGGGAAAAAATCCTTTTAATAAGAGGGATCAATTAAATTCTGTCATAAATTAATCAAAGATAAATTTATCAAACATTTGATAGAATATGTTTTTTAGTTTCTAAAATTAGATATAAAATTAGAATTTGTTAATATCTCAAACTTTTGATACAGTTTGAGAATAAATATCGTTATTCTAATTCAATTATATGAATTTTTTTTACATACTAAACGATATGGTAAAGTTTNATGTAATTAAAAATTAAAAAAATAAATCATATGCATTTAATTCATATAAAATGAACTTTGTAAGCATCCAGACAGAATTTTGAATGCCTCACCTGCTGCTGATACATAAACTATTGGATATCATAATCACTTAACCTCCGGTTGAAGGTACATAAATTTGGTAAAAGTACATATGTTGTTAACCAGTAATACTTGACAATAGAAGTTTAAAGAAACAATGATTTTATATTTGTTGAAATGAAAATCAAAACTATTATTTGGTATGCTCCTATTTGATAAAGAGCATAGATACAAACAGTGATACCAAACCAAAGTGAAAGCAGAATAATAAGAATAGAAAGAAGAAACAAGTTTGAGTAGCCTAGTTTAGATGTTGACGCTGATACAACTTTCATTTCCTATCTTCTATTGAAGGTGAGGACAGACAATCTCATATTTAATAATCAAATAAGATCTTAAAGAAGAAGAAAAAGCAAGTTTAGATTCAGAATTTCATGTCCACGTTTTGCGTTGGATTTGTTCATTTGTGTTTCTTTCTTGGTAGGGTGGCAAAACTAAAGGTTCTTAATATTTTATTGGATGAATGGTGAAGAGTGAGGTATGGTAGCACAGGTGAAATAGACAGCTCAACCGAAGTGCTAGACATAGGAAGATGAAATAGGCCATATTCTCTGTTAGTTTTCTTTTTTTGTCGTTCTGCTGAGCATTAAAAATATATTCTGACGTTAGTATATTAAAATCATTTTAACATATTTTAAAACATTAAAATCAGTGTTCATCAGTATATAAAAATTCAGCAGAGAATGCAAATTCAAGAGGAAAACTCAGACTCAAAATCCACCTTTGGAAACATCTCAGATCATGCAGACCACAGACTATAGTACATAATATATCCTTTGTTAGCGTGAGATTACTGTGATCATTAACTGTCATAATGACTAGACTTTCAGTTGCTTTTGCTCCTTGATTTCATCATAGTACTTATGTTTCATGATTAAAACGAGATTAGTGTAAACATCATGCGGATATGGACCTACAAATTTGTTTGTCCCTTGAGATATCTTTAGGTGAGAAATCAGGACCATCAAGATTCAAGATTTTAATCTGTAACATTTCCTTTTAAAATGATGTGATTGCAGAGCTGAGTGTCATTTTGGCTTACTTTCACATGGCTTGCCTCACCTACTTCTCTGATCCCAATAGAGATGGTCGATTTCTCCAACTACAGGTGGGTCAAAGTAGGAGTCAGTGAGACAATCACAGCCTTTGAAACTGTGCATTTTGGTGGACCAATCTTCCATAGGAATTTGAAAAAACGACACTCACAACCATCCAAATTTCTACATAGTGTGGACCTTTGTCACCCAAAATGTCAGACATATATGCCCTGATCCAAACAGTCCCAGGTTGACATTTACTGCATTGTCAAATAATAAGGGAACTCCAATAACTACATGGTACTAGAGTTCTTCAATTCATAGAGTAGAAGATGCAAAGTATCTAGTAGTGGGATGGGAAGTTGATAATAAGTAGAAGCTTGACCAAAACATAGTTAAAATATCAGTAGTCTGGTGAAATAAACTTTAGTAGCTGCTTTTTATGAATCAAACACATGCAGATCCATCAACTTCTTTAACTTTGAAACGAATCAATTTCATGTCAGATTTATTGAATAACTCAAAGCTGTGAGGACCTAACTTATCTACCTCTTTAAGAATTGGCGAAGAAAAGAGAGTTTGATGTACTCATGATGCTGTTATAAAGCAATTTAAAGCTTGATGGGAGTTTCAACTTGAAAAGAAGCCATTATTCATGACTGAGAAAATAAAGCAAACAACATTAAAAGCAAAACACAAGCTCTCTGGTAAGTAGCCAAAATGCATTTAGACTTGGTGGAGCAAGAGATACATGAGGACAAAAGAAGTGAAAAAGGAAAGAGCTGTGAAGGTGTTGGACAATGAGAAAAGACACAAATCAACTGGGGTATGGCATGTTGAATGGTAACTACTTAGAGCTTAAGGGACAAGTCAAGCTTCTGCAACTTCTCTTGTTTAGACTTCAAATGAGAAAAGCTACCAAAACAGTGTCCTCCAAATCCCTCTGTCACTACCCTTGTGGAAAACTTGCCTACTTTTGGAACACTATCAGCCAAGGATGACTCAGATTCTGCCCCCACACGAAAATTTCCAATTGCTGGTTGAGAATCCAAAGGCTGCCTCTGCCACCCATTGGAACGGCACAACCCAAAAATGGGTGCTTGATGAGAAGGTTTGTTAATCATGGCATGAACCTGAATTCCAAGTGATTTGTTGTATAAGCCGTGAGAAGGAAGAAAAGGCACGGTGGAATACGTGTGTCCAAAATCTGCTGCACCTGCTTTGTATCCTCTTCTTGCTAAAGTTCTTTCACGTTTGTGTGCATTCTGGTGTCCCCCCAGTGCCTGAGAACTATAAAACTTTCTTTGGCAGTAGTTGCATGAGAAAACCCGGGGATCCAGTTCATTTACCTGACTAGATTCTGATGAATTTTCAGAGAAATTCGTATGGAAACAATTGAGGAGGTTGAGTTCTGGCTTTGACTCATCATCATCACCTGAATCCTTGTTGGAGAGACTTAGATCTAGTAAGACACGAGGATTTGAGTCATTTGGGTGCTTTTGATCATCACTTTCTGTGTGATTCCTCTTTCTTTGAGTGTCTATGGAAGATCTTTGGCATGGCATAGTATCTGAAAATGTAATCATGTTCAAGCTCTCAAAAGGGCATGGCTCTTGCCTTTGAAGATCCATGTGGCAAGAAATTTGCAATAATTGCCTCAGTGGTGGTGTTGGTTATGGAAGTTTGGTTTAACAGGAAGAACAAGAACAAGAACAAGAAAGATGGAGTTTGTGAGTGATGTAACAACAATAAATGGTGTGTGCTATGTATAGAAGTAGATAGCACTATTTTACAGTTACAAGGTCTTAATATAGCAAGACCTAAAAATTAAGACATGCCTTTGTCTGTGTGTGCTTGATTGGAACATATGTAGAACACCCACGTACAGCTTGCTAGTGCATACCTCATTCAAAGTTTCTTTTTTTTTTTTTCTTTTTTTTTGGTAATTTTTATTTGTCTTCTCACTTGTCACTTTACATTTCTGGTCTCTGTATCTGCCTTTTATCGGTATATTCATGTCTATAGGTTATGAGGGGCTAAAAATCCAAGATAAGATCAATACCCCACTTTTGAAATTCAGAATAATGTGGTATTGTAGAATGGACTTGTCTTATAAAAGGTGTGGTATACTGAATTTCTTAATCCTGTTGGTGGATTTGCAGTATCTTCTCTGAAACTCTTCTGTCCTTGTCCTGCATTTTGCTTTCTTTATCTCCTCCTAGGATATAGACTTGTCCACACTTTCAATTTCTTTACTTTTCAGGTGTAAAAAACTTATATCACTTTAATCCTTCCAGAGTAGCTTATTCCATTCTAGAACACCAACTAAATATACAAAATCCAGTGTAGCAAATAATATAAAAGTAACACATAATCATTATTGTTGGAAGTCCCACACCAGAGATAAGACCAATTTATAACATATAAGTGGGTGCAAACATCGTCTTATAAGCTGGTTTTGTGAGATTGAGTTAGGCTTAAAGTCCATCTCTCTGTCCTAGTTAACTATTTGGTTGAGTTTATGTCTTCTATGTGATGTTCATCGTCATGAATCAATTATTCCAAAATTCCAAGTTGTTCCACGGATTAAAGTCTTAGCTTAACCACTAAATTGTGAATGCTCCATAAATTAATCATTCCAAAAACTCAGATGAAAAGTAGAATCTTTCTGATAAATCAATGCCAGCAGAGACATTAACTCAATGTATTAGTTTTCAAATTAAGATGCATGAATTATTATTACTTAAGAATATCTTGAATGAATGAGCTGTCTGATTTTTGTAAACAGTAAAGTGGCTTTTTTCATGGAGGCTCTTGTGGCTAATTTCAAGATGTAATCATTGGAGGCCTTCTGTTTCTGTGTTTGTTCACCATTCTTTAGACGAAGCTTCTAATCACACAAGCAAGCAACAACCATAGATTTGAAGTGCCTTAAAGCCATGCAAGAGGAATATGCTGCTCTCATTGCCAATTACACCTGGACATTGGTGTCACCACTTCCCAATGTCGATGTAGTAGGTAGGCCCTACGTAACTAAGGATGTGAAATGGTGTGCACTTTATGTTTCACACCCATTTACTCCATTGCAATTTAAGAAAAGAAAAAGTCCATACCAGAAAAAATTCTCAAGAGTCAGAATGTGATGATGTACTTTCAAATAATTGCAGAGGGTTCCATACTTGGAACAATGCTTTTAAATTGTAGTATCTTGCAATTTTACAAGTATCTACTCATATTTTTAAATTGTATTATTGAGTTTGTAAATTGTATTATTGATTGTATAAATGAAATAACAACATGGTGAATCGAGTTTTTTGACAAGAGGTTTGTAGTGTACATTTTCTTTAACTTCAACAATTGTAAACTACTTCTTCAGCAACTTATATTTAAACCATTCTTTGAATCAATCATAAACCAGAAGCTAGTTTGGTTGCAAAGGGAATTTTTTACTAAAATTTGGGATTTATTTTAAACCAAACTTTCTAACCTGTAGTTCAACCAACCACTATTCAAATTGTGGTCATACCCTTTTCAGCAACTTATAGCTATTTGCTAAGAATTGACAAATGAGACAACTAAATTTCACCAGGTAGTTTTTCTATTCTTGGGTTCCTTCAAAAGATTGTCACAATGCAACAGCCAGAGATTCATACATCATAAGGGTAACTTAGCAATAATGGCAGCTACACTCTTGATCCCTTAAACTTAACAAATCACTATTGTTTAAGTAATATTCACCCAGTAGATTATAAACCAGAACAAGAATAAAACACAGTTTTAGCTATTTCCTTTTAGAAAAATTAAATAATTTTATAGTGTTTGTCATGTTGTAGCCAGACAAAAGTCTCTGGTCTAACTTTCTCTTATTATGTTGCTACTGTTGGGTTTATCGAGAAAAAGATTTACTGTGAATATACAAACACTAATGAGATTTGGATCTAACCATATAAGAGAGATTGACATTGACAGTACTCTTTATCCAAAACTTTAAAGTAATGGATTAATAGGTCTTTTATAGTGTTCTACTTTCTCATTTTTATCAAAGGTGAAACTTAGACTCACTCTTACATTTCCAACAACTACTACTTATGTTAATATTTATGTCTCGAAACTTAATCATGATACTTATGTTCCCATTGAAATTTGTATTGAGAAACACTATTTGTATATAAACTTTGTATAAAGGAGGATGGAACAATTACTGTTGCAGAGAGAAAAATTAATGTTGTAAAAAGTAGAAAGTGTTGTGTGAATATATTATATGAAAAACATAACACGATTCCATAGTACTTTTTGAAGTTTGAACATGTACTTTTGAGGTTTCAACTGTCTAATATGACGTAGCTTTTTACTTACAGAAATCTCACGTTGATATATATGTAGGTAGCTTTTACTTACAGAGATGTTACAGTTGATAAGACATCATAAACTATGGTCCCTAGCAGTTTATCTGAAGAAACTGGCTTTTCATAGTTGGGTATGTGTCATTTCTCGTTTGTGTTTTAGTTAATGCTTCGTTTAAGCACTTAATAATTGAAGCCTATTCTGGGAATTTCAGATGGCAGTTTCCTTTCTTCGACTAGTAAAACGTGACACGAAAAATTGCCATATACAAAGCAACCAATCCAACTTTCCCTCCTATTATGTTTTGCCTGCATCTACCATTTATGCTCTTTGTCATATACCATTTTGCTTCTTCTGTCACATAAAACGTGTCACTCTATTTTCCAGACCACACACAGACTCCGTATCTTCTCTCTCTTTCTCTTTTCAAACAACTTTTCAGTGTCTTAAGAGTATATATTATTAAAATCATCACATCTATAGTGTAGTATTATAATGCCCTACTGCCAGAAGTTTACATTTATTTATTCATTTCTCTATCTATAAATTTAGGATAACGATACTTTAACAACATTTTTTTTACAACATTTTAACATCATCTACGTGTCATTCTGTGATTGGTCCATGTTGGTATTTATGATTATTATTATTGATTGTAGAGTAATTTTGAACCAATCATAGAATGACACATAGATGATGTTAAAATATTATAAAAAAAATGTTATCAAAGTATCATTATTTATAAATTTATCTGATATTAGTTTTTGCTGTGAGTAACATAATGAAAGGTAAATAGACTTTTAGTTCAATGATAAAATACTGAACTTGTATTCCTTAAACCAGGTTTCAGATTTAACTTTATGAATAAAGAAAACAGGTTTTTGGGAAAAAATCCTTTTAATAAGAGGGATCAATTAAATTATGTCATAAATTAATCAAAGATAAATTTATCAAACATTTGATAGAATATGTTTTTTAGTTTCTAAAATTAGATATAAAATTAGAATTTGTTAATATCTCAAACTTTTGATACAGTATGAGAATAAATATAGTTATTCTAATTCAATTATATGAATTTTTTTTACATACTAAACGATATGGTAAAGTTTGAGTTGTTTATGTTACATGAAATGTTTTTACTCAAATATTAGTCTGAAATATTGTTTAACACCTAAAAGAAAGTTAACTTTATTAGGTTAAAAGGGTTATATCTATTTATTTTTAAAAGGAAAAAGACTCTAACAACATTTTTTGACAATTTTTTTACAATAACCTATGTGGTAGCTTGTGATTGGTTCGTTTCAAATATACAGAACAATAAAATAATGACACATAATTTGTTGTCAAAATGTTGTTAAAAAAAGTTGTTAAAATATCATGGTCTTTTTAAAATTTGGAGATTAGAATGAATCAAAGTTTGAGATAAGATAAATTTCAATTTTGGGTGCAAAGTTAGGCTGTAAAAACACCCAAAAGATAATTGTTGCAAAAGCTGAATTTAGGTGTGTATGAGCTGCATGCATCTCTTTCAAGTGGTGGAACTGCAATTTGTTCACGAGTGTGTTATTAATCAGCCAGGCAGGCACCTTAGGTAACAGTTGAAAATGATGTTAGGTAAGTTTGTATGATGAAAAAACCAAAGACTGTTACAGGTTTTGTCTTGTAGCAGATATTGATAAGAAGCTTGGCATGAATGAGGCAATGATTAATTTCTAATTAATCTTCTTTAAGCACCAAGGAAAACTGATAATGATGTATCCAATCCAATGCTGCAATGCTATGAAAAAGAGGTCCCTCTTGGTCCCCCTTGAAGCTCTTGCAAGCTTTCACTTTCTCGAGGGTTGGAGCCTTTTTGCTTGCAACCTCATCTTATGGTGATTGTGACAACAACCAACACAAAGTGTTGTACACAAGCAACTGAGGCCGCACGGTTGGCTTGCAGAAACACATGCTGTGATACCTTGCAAAGAATTCTCTGACATCTGATGGATAAGTAATAACTTTTGAGATTGTTTAACTCTTTTGCTTGTGCTCACGTTGGCTTGGAATCAAATGCTTGACAAGAAAGGATGCTGACAAGAAAAGGATATCTCCTGTGTCTGCATCACACAGCAAATTCATGCAGAGGTTAAACACAATCTTTCAAGAAAAGGGACAAGTTTTTTTAACCACTGTTTTCATCTTGATGTCAGTAAAAAATTAGATTGAACTCAAATTTCTTGAGATTTGTTTTCTTACTCTTGTAGATGATTTCTTAAATTAATTGTACTTGTGTGGTGTGGTTAGTTTGGTAGGATATTGTTGAAAGAGGGTCTTAATTAGTAGATTCTTTGGAAGGAGAAATCTCATTGGAAACTGAGGGTTGCCTTTCCTATTTTGTCGTGTTCTTCTTTGTTTTTGGTCAACTGTCGTTTAGCAGATAGCCTTGGAGAATATGACATGTGGCCTATAACCTGATGTTGAACTGATTAATGCATTGTATAGTACAATCTCTTCATATTTTTTTCCTTTTTTTCTGTCACGTTTTATTTTTCAGTTTAATTCGTTTCTACAAAATTAGTTTTAATTTATAAGTTGAGATTTCCATTCATTTATATTCTAACAGTTCGTATGTTACTATGAAACTGAGATATGGACATGAGAAATAGATCAGTTATTTGGCTACAATGAACTGTAAAATAATAGAAAGAAAAATCTCTTAAAAAAGGAGAGAAGAAAAGTACAAAAAGTAATTTTTCACAGTAAGTGAGTTGAGTTGCCAAGAAAAGTGAATAACTTTGTCTGGTGGAGCATTGATTAT